AAACAAATCATAGATTATGAGATTTTGACAGAAAAAAAAGCGTACTCGTGGCATGTATGTATATCCACACTAACCTCCACTGTAATGTTGAGGACATCCCCTGGGTTTGGATCTGACACCTCAATGGTGAGACTGACAGGATATCCAACTTCTGCATGGATCTCAGTTGGGGCAATGATGGTCGGCGCAAAATTACCTTCAAGTTCACAGAAAAGGAGAACAATTAGTTACTAAAGTGTTAATGCCCTGCCCCACGGTGTATAATGTCAGTGAGATAATTCCTGGTCAGGTGTGAATAAACCACCAAGTGAGCGTAGCAGTGGTTTATTCAAAATAATTTTTTATATGCAAGTCATAATACTACTGTTAGTTTAATTCTGTCCACTGTATAATGTTATGGTCCAAAAAGTGGTCAATGACAGTTATTCTAATAACCCACCACTTTGGAGGCCTGATAACCAATGGGAAATGGAGCCTTCTGATTGGTCGATGTCTGCTGGCTATATGATAATGAGCAATAAACTAAACAAAAAGCAGAGTTCAAAGATTTTGAAAATAAAACTTTGTTAATATTCAAACTCAGTAATTCAAATCCTGTACATTATGTAAAACTTTGAATATTATAAATTAGTATTTTCCGGATGAATGGATGAATATCCTAGGGAAAGAATGAATGTTTGCAACTTTCACAATATATTACATATTTCATTCTGCTCCAATGCTGTCAAGAAACTAAACAATAATGGTCAATTTGCAGGCTTGATTATTGAAGCAGACATGTAAAGTTTAATCGTCAATTATCAGTCTCGCTTATTTCCTTGTAAACAGGTGTTGGCAAAAGACATCAATCGGTCAAGAAGAAAGACTCACTAGTAGCATTCTCCCTGCCCCAGTATTGGTCCTGTGCCCATAGTGTAGCCTGTCCAACCTCCACATCACCAGTCACAGCGATGTCATACATGCACTCCTGACTCACAGTGCCGTCAGCCTTCCTGCACACAGCCATGTGGGCTGGGTCGTCCAAACTTACATCTGACATCAGCCTACAGAAGGTGGAAAAAATCTCAAATTTGCATATCATTTGCTAACAAATCATATTCATGGGCATTGTAGCCTGGTGTCCAGTCTATCATGGTTGGGGCGGGTTCTCTTTGGGGTTCCAGGGGCTCTTCGCCACCTGACTCAGCTAGGTTTCACGGTAGGTTTTGCATTCACAACAATTACTCCTGGCGTTATCACTCCTGGTGTACAAAACTCTATTTTATAGCAAAGCTCCTACAGGCCTAACACTCCCACCGGTAGGCCAGTTGAGCTTGGTGAGGAAAACTATTAGAGCCCCTGCTGACAGCTTGCCACAACCCTAACACACCGGACTATGGTCACCAGGACCTGATACAGACAATCATCATGCACAGGTTTCGTCAGGTTGACCTACTCTCGGCGCAGACCCTCCAGTCAGTTCTGGTGGCACACACCCGTTAAGTGTATGGAAGACCTGGTCTTCCCACAAAAGGAGACAGTCACTTAATTGGGCAGGCCAAAATTTGTACTGATTCTTATTTCCTTGCTTTTCAATAATTCTCTCCTTTTCTCGACATCTTCAGTAACCCATACCTGGGTTGGTACTGGTCATCCCCATAGTCAGCTGCAGTACTGCCATCATACCAGTCAAACAGGGTGAAGTCTTCCACTGGGACACCATCCGCCTGGCTAACTGTTCTTAGGGACCCTGGAATGAAAAAAAATATTATAACTTCATTTACATGTACTTCTTCTGGTGAGTCAGCTAGCTAAGGGTAGTAATTGGATTTCAACCAAAACAAAGAGCTGAATTCTAACAACACCTAAATTTGAACTTGATTTATCTTAGACTAACGTTTTTTACCTGTCAGCATGTACATGTGACTGTCGGATATCTTATCTAAATGTACCTGTCAATTATAGCATATATTGAATAACAAAGTTCTTTTTTTTTATTAATTCACAACCACTTTTTTGACATTTTGAGGACTGTCTGTCACCTTCATCTTGGTAATTAGGAAGATGACAGACGGTCACTGAAACGTGGGCTATTGTTAACAAGTAGTTGTGAATAAATAAGTTTGCTATTAAATCATCATTCACCAAGCTGTTATTCATGGGTATAGCATACAAATGTAAATGTGCAGAGCTATGCCTACATTGTATTTGCTGACAAGTACATTTTACTAGCACACCCCCAAAATCACAGAAAATATACATGCATAATGACAGTAGTTATGTCAAATTTCTGCTGTGAAACCAAAAGCAAATTTTATGCATTGCATGATGAAAAAGCCATTTATTTTAAAAGGTTGTGAGCCTACTCACATGACTTGCCGAAGTCGAAAATGTTTTGCTCTGTGGCATCAGCACCAAGGACAGTACCATCTGATAGCCTGAATACAATAAATTGGTTAATTTATACTTTACATACATGTAGAATCATAGTGACTGCTATTTAATGATACAAATGTTTCCATTTGCAAACACTAATTCAATAATCATGGTGCAATAAAAGTCTTTGCTCAATATTTACTGAGATATAAAGTGAGAATTTCAGTACTTTTCAGGACATTAACAGGAACAGGAAGTTTATTTCACATTTTTGTGAAAACTGAGAATTCAAACTGGTTCTATGCAGACAATGTAGTGCAGTGATGACAATGAAGCATTACGGCTTTCTTAGCTAATTATTTAAAAAACAAGAAGAACGGTATCCAACACTTTTAATGAGAAAACATCATTCCATCAAACAGGTTATTGAAATCTCCCTACACCAAGAACTGTCAGAAATTCAGGTTGGCTAAATTTAGTACATAGAGTTCAATAGAGTAAGAGCAGCTCTATGAAATATTAAATCATAACAAAAGAATAACCACCTGAAATCATCGCCATCATCTCCATCAAAATTACCCATGATGCCCTCCAGGTACCCCTGGAAGCTACTGGGCATGCCCACAGTGAAGAACAACATGGCCGACCTTGTGGACACGTGGAAATACATGCCGGAGGGGAACTGGGCCAAAACATCAACAATTTGGGAACCTGCATACAAAATATAATTTAAAAAGCAATTATTCTTTGCTCAAAACACCAAGAGATCATGGGTAGATCACTCCTATTCAGCAATTATACCAGCTCTCACTCTTATACATGTGCGTGATATTCTGTACAATGTGTGTGTACAAATATGTGATGGATTTATTAGGACTTGAAATGATGTAAACTGTATCTTAAGTCTGTGTTTTTTTGTCATTTTGCATGACCTCTTCCCTGATGATTGAATGAAAAGCAGGCCGATTTGAGCTTCTTATGATCAAAGAATGGTTCAAACAAAAATTAAAACACACAAAAAACCCTTGACTTTTTGCCCTGCGGTAGCGTAGTTACTTCAGCATTCGTTGCGTTTCATTGCATGAGAAATGTTAACACCCCCAAATTGTACATATTTATAGATGGTACTGCATGTGCAAGCCATATACATTTTGCATTCATGGGCTCCGCATGACAAAATAAAACTATATGTCAGCAATGACAGGATGTAAAGTTTTTGACCTGCTGTGACGAGGACAGACCCATGAGGAGTAGTCTGACTCTCCGTGATGTTGTCTGTGCCGTTTCTCACAACCAGCTGTTCTCCATCGCTGTGCAGGTACACCTGTATGGACGGGCTGTCTGCTGAGCCTTCACGCCCTGCTATGGCTCTGCAGTGAAAACACAAGAAGAACACATGACCATTATTGTGTGGTGTCAGGTGGCGTAGTGGTAGAGCATCCAACTATGAAACCGCGAGACCTGGGTTCAATTCCGAGCTGTACCTGGGACATGTCTGTGCCCTTGGGAAAAGCACTTTGCCTCACTCCACCCAGGTGTGAATGGGTACCTAACTTCGGTTTGGGAAAGTTTACGTGGTGACATCAAATGGCAGGCACACAGACCATTGCGACAGTTCCACAAAAGTGTGTGGAGCAAATATGTATTATGTGATTGTAAACCCTGCATCAATTCAGCACTTTAAAAGGTTGCCATTGCACGGCTAATGTTTGACCAATAAACCATTTATTATTTTTATATCAGATACAGTTCACAATAATTTTTTAACTTCAAGCCAATGAAAAGCAGAACTTACGTGAGTATGGTGGCCCCCGTGGCGCCCGGTGCTGGGGCCGTGCGTGCCTGCAGCATGAACTCCCCACCGTTGGTGAGTGACCAGCCAGAGAGGGTTCGAGCCAGGACATACTCTCCGTGGCCGTTAAACGTGAATGTTCGCTGGTCCATGGAGATGAAGTGGGGGTCACCAAACATGGTGGCTGGAACATTTTAAGAGTTAATTTAAGCATTATCAGACGTTCAGATTACGATGAATGATCAAGTCAACCACTAAATGATAAGACTTTTTTTGCCAGTTTGTTGATTTAAGAATAAGGATGATATCCTCTGGGAACCCCAAAACTGATGAAAAAAAAATTAGCAAAAATGTTGCATTACATATTTAAATTGCAGCTGCTTTGTACGATTTACAGGTACAGTATGGTCAAAAACGTTTTTTTGAAATAGACGAAAATTACTGTGTGCACAGATGTCATCAAATCAACATACCTTGCATTGTTGGCCTGTACTTCCTTGAACTTGCAGGTGGTCGTTTCTTGTGGTAGAGATGACAGAACTCATTCGGAGTCTCTACGTTACAGCACCAGCCACGGGCATCCCAGTCCCTGTCCTCATTAGCTGTCTGCAAGTGTCAAGGCATTGATTTGATAATTGTCGAGAAGGTTGTTCAACAAAATTTGTTACATTTCATGCTATAGATGAATTCAACTTCATTCTAGAAGGTAAAAGTTTGTACTACACATTGGTTAATATATCAAAGAATTCTTGGACCTTAGAACAAGTCGTATAACTATAAGTGACACGCCAAAGTCAGCATCTTGATTCATCCATAGTCTTGAACGTAGGTCAATTCTTTTGTACCCATTTGTCTGTCTGACTGTATGCTTACCGTGATAGCAGTTATTCTGAAAGTTGCTGCACTTTTGCTGTGTCAATGAGATGCTTTCACAATGTGTTAGGTACAATGCAGCAATGCACATGGGTGTGATATCTTGTGTTGTGCATGGACATACTATAGTTTTGATATTTGGTATATATAGGCTGTGGCAGGACAGCAAATTACTGCACCATAGAGAACACAACAAATGATGAAAGTATGAGATTTTTCACCTCTAATTATATTGACTAGCAGACGGACAAAAATGGAAATTTCATACAAGGAAGTGTACCTGTACCCTAGGGAGCACCCTATAGGGCTACAAAATGTGCTAGTCTAACTAATGAAAAACAAAACGTCTGATTTTTTTGTGAACATATTTCATAGTTGGCCTGAGGGTAGATTGTATTTGTTACACATTCAATGTCCAGATTTTACCTTGATGACGTGTCCAGCTGAAATATAGTCCTCAGTGACCAGTGGGTTTCCCTCAACCTCAGTATCATAGCAACATCGGATGTTTGCTCCTGTTGAAAGGAGACATTTTCAGTATCAGAGTAATCAACATACAGGATTGTATACTGTTTGTTGTAAGAAACTAAATTTACTAGGTGACTGTAAAATTGAGATAAAAAGGAAATGTCTGCATAGTTGGTCAATTTTGGTACTTGGTTGCACTATACAGGACTGGTGTACAAATGTATGTCATGTACATGTACATGTTTTATGTCAAATTACTGATAGAATGGGTAGAAAGCCCAATCTGTGTTTCTGTGGGCAGAGACTCCGATCAGAATCTCTACAGTGCATGTTGAATTGCCAAATTCTACTGGCAATCAGGATGAGGTCTATTGCCATAACTTACATTTTGTAACATTGCCCAATCGATCCTAAAAATTTAACTACAAATCACATTTACTGAATCAGATATCATTCAAAATGTCTGTGCTTACCATAAAACCTATTAAATATCTCTGAATGCTGTTGAGTACATGTACTTGTATGGTACTGATCATGAATCACATATTGTACCGGCAGAAACCCCAATTATCATGATCTCTACTGGCAAAGATTCTGATAGGGATATCTACAGAGTTTCTACTTCTCTGGGATATATACTCACCCAAATGGTTGTCCAGGTGTCTCTTGCAGCAGTTGTACCTGTACTCCACAAACATGTAGTTGGCCTTCCACAGCTCTGTCTCCAGTCTGACATGAGCCATGGTGGGGGGACAGGTGTCCAGCAGATCTGCTCCAAACTCTGCAGAGGACTCTGCAGCCTACAAAGGGAAACATTTTAACTGGTCAAAATGTATTCAACTCCATGAAAAATGGAGATACTGTTTGTTTGTGTATGTATGTTTCTGCATGGCCCTTTCAGTTTAGATTATTTCAGCTACAACACGGCTTTGATTCTGGTACCTTATTTTTACCTCCAAGAAAAGTGGCGGTATTGTTTTTAGTATGTCTGTGTGTCACTGTGTGTGTGTGTGTGTGTGTGTGTGTGTGTGTGTGTGTTTCTGCATGGCTCCTAGATTAGGTTGTAATGGATATGGTTGGGTTCAGTCTGTCCCAGAGGGAGAAAGTCATTAATCATGTCACTCTACATTTGGTAGCGCTCGCTGTTTTCATACTCAGGTGTTTTCGTTACATGACCTCCTTGACATGCAGCTGGTGTTGTTTCCCTTGCACAATAAAGAAAGCCTTGTACACCATGGTGAATGAGAGAGAGGAAAAAGTCACAATCACGCAAGATAGAGGTCTTCGATCTCAAAAGTCTTGTTGTCACATGAGGGAGATTTATGATAACCAAGGTACTCCATATACAGTAATATTATACAAAAATCTGTACTGTTAGTGTCTCATTGCTGCTATCAAGTGAATTATTCTTTCTATTGATAAGTTTTATTTTATATGGGCCATGGATGCCTGAAATAAAGAATAAAGAAAAATCCCAGTCATCTTTGATACTGGCCCTGGTGCTGAAATGAAAGGTGTTCTGGACACATTCACCATCAGACAAGATTTAAATATTTCATGGAGGTCTGAGATCTCCGAATTCTTGCTTTCATTGTAACTATGATATCACAAACTTAAAGAAGGTTACAAGTGGTTCTTGATTGTAATAGTTGTGAGTGTCGGAACACAAGATATTTTGACCCACCTTGTACCAGTCCATGCACTGTTTAGCCTTAGAGACATCTTCCATGTCATTGGCACCAACCCTGTAGAACACCATCCCTGGAATATCTTCAGGAATTGTTGAGCTTTGCCATGTGTCCATTCTGAAGACCAATACAAGAAAGATATGATCAGATATTCAGCTATCTAAATTCAAAACAACTTTTCATGTATGTAGAGAGAAGAGGCCTACAACAGAAGGAGACAATAATTTGAGTGCGTGTCAATGACTTACCATTAATCTACTACCATTAATAAACATATTATAAGCACAAAGCTTTATCCTGCAATACTTAAAGAAAGATTTACCAATTTTTTTTCAGTTCAAATAGGGACTGAAATATTGTTTATTTGTGCAACTTGTTTGTTAGGATAAATTTACAAGTTATAAAAGTCGTGCTCCATTCTTTGCAACCCCTGCTTTGCATATCAAGTCAGTTAGTCAAGCTTGCTTGATGTTTCTGACTTTCAAGGTAAAGAGATGCTGCTTCTGAAGTCAGTGAGCATTAGCTTAGTGCTCAGAAGTTGTGCAAAGCCATGTAGCTTTGCACTGAGCGAACTCATTTTAAGAAAGTCTATTTCAATAGCTTGGATGTAGGTGCCTATCCCAGTGAGGGATGGTCCAAATACTTATCTGATTATTCGTACAGACTCCATGCAGGAAAAGTAGTGTGAAATTCACACTAATGGAGATCCTAAACAAACAAACAATGACCTGAAGACATTGACTCCGTTGATGTCCCCATCCCAAGTGGCAGATGTCACCTCCCACTCTTCCCTGTTGTTGTCCTCCATCTTTACAGAGTACCCCACCCTCACCATCCTGTCTCCTGCTGCATGGATGTCCTGCAACAACAAAGTAGCAGCAGAGTTTTACATGTTAGTATTGATGTTGTTAGCCATGTAATTTACCGACAATGCTCGTTTCTTACCTTGACTTAAAAAAACAATTCTTAGACAGCAAACTTGACTTACACCTTTCAAATTGCATTATGATTCAACATTTCAAAATTTGATAATATCATAATGCTTCATAGGGAGAGGAATCTTAGTATAAAACTCAATGGGGGGAGGGAGTGGTGTAAGGGCAAGGGATAAACCAGTAAGCATGGTGGGGGAGGGGATTTTGGGAACGGCAAGGGGTAAACCAGTAAGCATGGTGGGGGAAGGATAAAGTTTCAGAAGACATTTTGAAAAGCAGACTCTGACCTTTTTTGGTGTCTGAGTCTTGATCTTTAGTTTATGTTAACTTGGATTACTTCAAACTATAAGTTTGTCTCTCTTGATGATACTAAGTCTATCAGCACATCAATTAGCATCTGAACAATGTACAATACTTACAGATAAGGCATAGTATTGCCGTGGGTTCCAGCCCATAGCTTCTCTCTCATACAGGTACAGAGCATAGCTGTAGCTGCCATCAGTGGTCAGTACGGCCTGGAACGTGCTTGTCTACGGATGTAAGACAACAGGAGAAATCAACAACATAACTGACATTTGTAATACCATCATACATAGTATTACAAAGTACAACTGTACATACATGTATATTGTGCTTTTCACACTTCAAGTAATGTACAGTAATTTTTATTGATCAAAGCACTGACCTAGCCATCATCCATCTTTCCATCATTTGATGGAATTTTGTGCTCATGACAGACAAAATATTTTGCTGAACTCATCATCTCTGATGGACAAAAATTGGTGTGTAAAGATGTATAGAATGAGATATCAGCAAAATTTTCCCCCCAAATAGAGGTAATAGCATTTGAGAGGGTAAAATTTAACTCATCCACTAGCAAGAAAGTTTGTACATCATACAATGGATCTCTAAAGTTATGACAGGTTTTGTAAGGCTTTATGAAAAAAAAACCTATTGAGTAAAAATGAAAGTTAACATGAATCTAAAATGTCTGTCACAACATTACATGAATATCAATATTGATCAATAGTAGATAATAAACAATGAAAGGGTCCATCAAATGGTACCTGGTCTGCCCTCCAAGGGGGGCGAACGTTCTCCCAAGTTGCGACCAATACAAATGAGGCCATGTAGTCATCATCATCTGAGCTGTAGTCTCTAACCCGCTGTTCCACAGCGTTAAAAAGATCTGGAGCTGCTTCCCTCTGGGTGTAAGCTCTGTACCACACCTGACGGGAACATCAGGAGAAAGACTTAATGTCAGTTGGTGCATCAACGTACAAGTCACCTCTTCTTCATTGTGTGTTCCTGAGATAAAAGAAGTCTGCAAAGCCTCTGTCACACATTCAGAACCTTCCCCCGAACACCAGCTGACCAAGGTTGGCTGAAGCCCCTGTCACACATTCAGAACCTTCCCCCGAACACCAGCCAACCAAGGTTGGCTGAAGCCCCTGTCACACATTCAGAACCTTCCCCTGAACACCAGCCGACCAAGGTTGGCTGAAGCCCCTGTCACACATTCAGAACTTTCTCTTGAACATCCGCTGACACCAGGTAGGCTGATGTTTGGGAGCAGTCTAATCAGATTTAGGCCACGCCTACATTTTGTATCTTTGTACCTTGTACATATGAGGCGCAAAGAATTTGATAACCTGGATTCATAATTCACCTTAGGAGGGTTTTCCGTCGTGGCAGGAATGTTATGGAAGCGTACGTCTGACCAGTAAACAGCTAATATTCCCACAGCAGCAGGGTGGGGGGCGAAGGGCATGGCCGGCCTGATGCCACTATCAGTCACCCCGATGAAGCCGTTCTCACTCACCTGTGCAAGAAGAGAAAGATAAAATGTTAATGTACCTGGTTATTACATTAAAGTACATGTCAAACTTGCCCAAGCGACCACAACTGGCCATCTGGCCATATTATGAACGACCGCTTTTTTAAGGTCCTAATTTTCCCCCATAGACATAGCATTACTTGTTGTGGTTTTCTCACTCTCTGTCTTGCATTAAAAGACCTTGTCTAAGGCCATTTCTTGTTGGTCTCCTGGGTGTTTCATTAGTTTACTGCTAACATGCAACTGTGTAGATGATGACTGTTTCCTGTAAAAAGAACTACAAATGGTGTTTCAAGTTAAAACTTTAAATTTGTTCCATGCCATCACAAAGAATTGTTTTTACTTAGAGCTTTCACTCTAGAGTCAGTTTGGTTGTCTTCCATAGACTGACCCAATGAGACTTGTCATGTGGCTTCTCTGAAGTTTGATGTCAACACTGGGTTAAAGGTATCCGGAAATCAATGTTGACCCAGTGTTGACGTCACACTTCAGAGAAGCCATGTGACAAGTCTCACTGGGTCAGTCTATTGAAGAAGACCAGTGAGAGTGACTGGTCAAAGCTCTGTACAAGTGCAGGTGAGAACAATTTTTTGTGTTGGAACAAAAGTTTCAACCTGGTACATGTAACTAGTGATGCATACCTAAACCCAATTTTAGGTTCAGGTCCGGATTCAAGTCCAGAGGTTTAGGTTCAGTTCCGGACTTGTAAGTCTGGACCTAAACCCATGGCATATACAAAATTGCATGTTTGCAACCTTGCAATGTTGTCTGGGTGAAACTTTGGCCACACAACATGGAGGCCGGTACTTGACGATGCCTGATGGCAATGTTTTCTTCGTTTTGCAGCAAAGATTTTACAATCTACGGAAGGTTTTAGGTGGTTTGGAAAGAAAAGGGGTATGTGAAATGGTCTTTTATGGTAATAAGTCCGGACTCGGTTCTTGACTTTCAGGTTTTTTTTGGACTTGAACCTAAACATTCTTACAAGTCCGGATCCAAGTCCAGTGAACCGGTATGCA